TCTCTCTCTCTCTCTCTCTCTCTCTCTCTCTCTCTCTCTCTCTCTCTCTCTCTCTCCTCTCTCTTTTGCCTCCTCTCTGTTCCTCTCTCCGACTCTCTCTCTTACACGCGCGCTTTCTCCGGTAGCATGCGACGGGTGGGACGAGAGGATCGTTGCGGCTCGCCGCAGGCGACTGCTGCGACCTGCTCTCCTCAGCGACAAATTCCTCCTCTCCCGGCCTCGACCGCTCTTCTCCGATGCTTCCTCCTCGCTCCTCTGCTCCGCTTCCGCCCGGCCACCGGAATTGCGTTTCTCACGACTTCTCTCCGCGCTTATACGCACGAACTTATGCCGCACGCAAGAAAATCAATCGGCAAGGTCCGGCGAGGCGCGAGCAGCCCGACGAGTGGCCTTCTCACAGTCCCTCGGACCTTGTTCCGAGGAAGAGAGGACGTCAGAGAGTCGGGGTGCTGGTGATTCTAAACATCAAGGAGGTAGGGACTGCCTAGTCAGCCCTTAATATCGTGAGAGCCGGATCCAGACAAACAACCCCGACAGAAGCGGGTATAGGCTCCGGTTAAGCGCTGGTCAGCCGGCCGTCAGTCGGTTCGACTGGCTGTTGGCCCTATTATCGCTAACTAATAAAGGGCCTAATTGAAACGCCGGGCTTTTGTTTCCAGCACTCGAGCTCGTCTTTCCAAAGGTTGCACTGCCGACCCGACCATTTGACCGGCTCTCTCTCTCTCTCTCTCTCTCTCTCTCTCTTCTCGCTCCGAATCCGGATCCGACGCGGATCGGAATTCACGAGGCGAGGTGGATTCGCGAAGATCGATTGGGCCGCTGCGCTTCGACGCTAGAACGCAAGAGCTGCTCTATTTTCGTCTCTCGCGTGCACCGGATACATACCATATACCCTGTGCCACCCCTTTGCATTTGAAACTGCAAAGTCCTTCAAAAGCTGACCCGTTGTTCACCTTGCTGGGGTGAGATGATTCGACCGCGTCGAATGTAATCCGCAGACGTGGACGAGAGAAAGAGAAATCGTTGGTAAGCGTAGTTAAATTGAACATGATTAAAGAGATTAAAAAACAACGCTTGCCTAACTATAACTTCGTCATAATGTGATCGAGGAAAGAAAGCACATCGACGTGGTAATTCAACCATAATTCATAGACGAAAGCCATCGAGATCGCTTATAATCGCATCGCGTATAGAGTATAGCCCCGGCGCCGCGCGCGCGCGCTTGTCTGCAACTATTTTCTGCGGAGGAAAAAGGAGAAAGTTTGATCGCGGTAAGTGCCGCTATCACGAGAGAAATAGACAGAGGGAAGAGAGGAGGGAAAGAGAAAGAGAGATCGCCCTCGACATGATTTTTCCCTCGGTCGAAAGCTCCGACATCATCGTCGTCCGACACGACGCCGCGTTCTTAAATTCCACGCGTGTCGTGACCGTGTTGAAAGCGCAACGTTATTCTTCGGAAGCGCAATCGCGTCGGTTCTCCAAGTCATTCAATTATTTACAGGCGTCCCCATCGAGAGGAGCAGCATGGGGGTGAAAGTACTTTGTACCGCGACTAACGGCAATCATCGTCATTATTCCCGCGATCGAGTCCATGAAAATCGTGGAACATAAGAAGCCTCGGAGCCTCGAGAGTTCGCAAACTTTTTCTTTTTTTCTTTAGTGGAAAGTAGACATCGCGAGCAGAGAGGGAAGACTTCGGTCTCCCGATGTGGAGATTTTCAGATTGCAAGTTACGGTAGATTGAAAATAATTTCCTCTTTGCATCGAGTTCTTTTGCAAAGGAAGAAAATGGGTCGGTAAAATACCGAGCGATTAAATTCCACGCGCATCTGACGTGGAATTCGCGTCAGCGAAACGAGGAAACGAGCGGGATCACTTTGTCGCAGACTAAATCCCGCTGTATGCGCGATAAATCATCTTCTTTTTTAGCCAAAAAATATGTGTGAGAGAAAGAGAGAGGGATAAAGAAAGAAAGGTTTGCGTGCTGCAAAAATAGTAAGGTAAAAACTCACCTTGCTGGCGTGCGGTTGGACTGACTGTTCGTGAGAGAGACTGCTGCAAATCGGCCGAGAAGGCAGCCTGCCGTGTTTTGCTCAGATATAACTGCAAAAGGAAATGAATTACGCGAAATTATTCCTCCGACGTCAATCCTAATTTATAAGCGAAGCATTTCTTTAATTGCTTGTACTACATTAAGAAAGAGTTCCGTAATGTGGGAAGACAGATGTGTCGTGACTGAATCGAGCCGCGTTACCGTGCGCTATTTCGGACTGCAAGACGCAAAAATACGGTGAGCGACTCGCCCGTGAGTTGCGGACGACAAAGTTCGAATTAATTATTTTGATCGTTGCTACAAGCGAGTGCCTCGCAACTGAAGTGACAAGTCGCGAGATCGATACAACGCGACACTCGAGAGCATATAACGTTAATATTCAACTCAGCACGGTATATCAAAATTACGTCGGGCGTTCGATCATCAACACAGACAAGTAGATTTCTCCTTTCGTACATAATTATCGCGCGGGATAATGTTACGTGCCGAAAAAAGAGCTTCGCTTTATGCGAATAAAAGCCAAACAAGCTGATCTTGTTTATTGATCTTGTTGTTGATCTATTTCCTAAAAAGTTGAGGACATTCCAATAGTTGTATGACTTTGAAGACAATATATTAGCGTCAAGATCGACTTGTTTGGCACTTATCTGCTTGAATTCCAAGCGTTCAACTTCATTCGTGATTGCATATCATCAGAGTCGTTATCTTATTGTTGTCCTTCACTTTATACTCCTCAGCGCATCTTCATTATATAATTAATTAATAAGAAAAGAATCGTCGTCTCGAATTGACGCACATCATCGCATTCGTCGAGACGACGAGCGATATCGCGCGTTTTCGTGAACTGAAACCGAGACTGGAGCTCGTTCCGCACGTCGATAAGAACTAGAACCGGATCTCGGAGAGGTTTGGCATCCCGATCACGCGCTAAGGGCGAGCCATCCCCTTTAATATTAGGACCAAATCGGACCGACTCGCTTCGGTATAAAATAAAGGGCTGACATGCGAGCACGACGGGAGAGCCGAGCCGAGCCAAGCCAAGCCAAGCCGAGGGAGAAGCCGGAGCGAGCGAGAGAGTGCCCCGCGAGAGGAACGGAGAAAGGCGCGGAAGACAGGCAGGGAAGGGTGGCTTCACCACCGCGGTGAGGGATGACTGAGCGAGTCGGTTAAACGGGCGTCTTCTTTCATAAATTTGGAGGGCGCCCCCGGATAAAGGTTTAGAATAAATCGTTCGGCCTGTTATCCACTCCGACGTCGGCGGATAACGGCAGACGAGAAAGCGACCCCGGATGGCTCAACAATCCCTCCACCGCCTCCTCTCTGTGTGCCCGCATGATCACACGTTGTACCGCTTTGAGAGATGCGCATCTGCGCGTTTTCCATCCTCCGCAAAACTCGAAATTTCATTAATGTGTACGCCTTTTATCTGGAATCTATCGCAGTGTACGAAGAAAGAAGACTGGTTGGATTAACGTGACAATGATACAACTAAGTGCGTGCGTTTTCGTTGAACGAAACAGAATTTTTAATTCTTAAGAACCGAATTTGGTTCATGAGAAGCAGACATTCCGTTTCCTTCAACCACAACGCGTTTAATTGTGTCACTGTCATGTTAATTCAACCAATTCTTCTTCCGCGTGTAAACAACTCGACGGAGAGATTCACAGGAAACGCATCGGCGTTTGTACGTTTGTTCTTTTGACCCTCCACGTATATCTTGACGAATTCAATTAATGACCGAAATTCAATTAAAGTCTCTCAACGAAACTTTATCAGACTAACGTTTGAGTTATTAATATTAAAAGAAGTATGGAGGAGCCGTTTAATATATGACTGAAAAACAGTCTGTGTAATAGAAATATCGCACGCTTTGTGCCACAGCGCGGTAACTCACGACGCGCGAGGTCGCCCGACTAAAATGTCGAGTGCAATATGAAAGTTCAGGCCGGGGTGAGTCGAACGCTCATAAATACATCCTCGAAGATCGCACAAATCGCTCGTTCGAGGCCAATCCCCTTCGACGTCTCCTGCGAGAGATACGAGAGGGAACCCTTCGCCTCGCGCAGAAATACACGCGGCGATACGGCGAGTATATGCGAGGCAACATGCATGCACGCGCGCGACGTACATGAAAGCGGTCCGAGCGTATCGCACTCGCGCGGAAGAAGGAGGGAAAGATGACGGGGGAGGAAAGGGGGTGAATAAACGGGAGGGAAAAGACGAGAGCAACGAAGAGAGATAGAGAAAGGCCAAACCAGGCAGAAAGCCAGTCCAATTTCTCAAACCTGTCCAATCTGTGTCGTATGCAAAATCAATCACGCTCCACCCTGCTACACCGCCCAGCCCGGGAGCTCTGGAGGCCCCACAATTTTCAAATCCATCCGTAGCCACGCGGTAATCCAGCTCTTGAGGCGAAACTTCTCGCCGATCTAAGACAGAGTCCTGCTATCGAAGCATCTTCTTCGACCTATTTCGCCGGATCTGATATGTAAGCGTCGCGTCGTGTTCCGCGAACGTAGATTTATAAGAGTATCTTTCACGTCCAATGGAGGTAGCGAGCAGTTGTAAATAGATGAATAAAAACGGAGAGATTAAACTTCTTCCACGTCATGTGTAAGAGAGAGGGTATCTCTTAATTTTTAAAAATTTAACCTTTTTCTCTTTCTCTCTTCCTCTTTCTCTCTTGGCATTCAATAGAACGCGACGGCGAAATCTGATCGCCGATTAATAGTGACAGTGCATAAATTTTCGAGTACAAATAATGATTAATTGTTATAACATAATGAAACGAAAAGAACCGCTTGCTAATACAATGTGGAAATGGATTCTAATGACAATGACCGTCACAGGGGATCGTATCAACGAGATGCACGCCGGCGAAAGAACAGCAGGCCTTTGTAGCTGCACTGAGACGTAGCCGTGATCCCGCCGTGATCGGCGCGGCGTGGTAAAGTTTATATTGAACCTTTGAATCATGGTAATAATATCGTGGAGCGTGCTCAAAAGGCGAGCGCCGCGACGCGGAGAAAGACATTTTAAAAAGTAAAATTCAGAAAGTCATTAGGAACTATCGGCGTATCGGACGTTTGTCTCGGCGGCCCGGCCATTGATATGCATTACCTTCGATCGGCAGCCGCGATCATTAAAGGCACCTAAGGGCGCTCTGTAAGGGTTTCAAGGCCGGCCGACCGCCTCGAAAAAGTAATTTGTCCTTTGGGGCGCGAACTTCAAAGTGCTCGCAGGACATTCGTCCCGCGTGCGGGCTTGCTACAACAAGCGGCGTTCTACTTGCGCCCCTTTCTACTTGGCGCCACTGATCAGACTTGCTGATTTTTGCCGTCGCAACGTCGGCCTGGACCTTGTCCACCGAGGCCCGTCAAGGGCCCCGGCCGCTGTCGGAGCTCTCAGCCCCCGAGAAGACGGACGGAGAGAAGCGGGAGCGCGCCACGAGGGGTGCGAAGAGTTTAGCATACGCATTTTGTACATTGAAATCCCGACACGTTCGTCCAACTTTAAATTAAAAACCCGCCCAACGCACGTCACTTCCCCGCCGTCGATAGTCGTCGCCATCGTCGTCGTCGTCGTCTCGCAGAATGTCGCAAAACTAACGTCGCACACGAAAAGAGGCGATATTTATATGTGTGCGTATATGTGTGTAAATTTCGTTGCAGAAAATATATCGTCGGCCGCGAGAGAAAATCGACAAAGACTACGGCGAAGAAAACAAAATGTTTACGAAAGGACAAGACTGAAAGGATGAGAATAGAAAGAGAAAGAGAGAGGTGGGAGTTAGGGAGAACTATGATATGCGATGACGTCCTATATCGGCACACGCAGGATTTCTACAAAACAGTTGCGACTTGCTTATGTGCACTCAAATCGCGCAAAGCTGTTATGTTGTTACGACTCTCGCATCGTCATTTTACGCGGTGCGATGCTCAAATGACATCTCGTATAATTCGCCGGGGTCTCGACAGCGACACGTTGAATACCGATGTAATAACGCGAAATAATCGACTGAGTCCTGCGCGATCTTCCGAATCTGGCCGCGCGACATTACGCGAGAAGGGACACGATGGTGAGGGAAGAGAGCATTTTTAATTAAATAATACTAATCACAGAGGGCCGACCCTCCCGCGCGCAGGCAAATCTCATCTCGCTCTTTCCCTGGACCGTCCCTCCTTGCGCGATCTCCTTCCGTCTTCCTCTCACTCCGCTCTACGCCGCTCTCTTGCCGCGCTCTCCTTCCTCTCCTCCGGTCCCGCGAATCGTCTCTCTTTTAGACTTCGAATTGTAATTAACATTTGGTTCTCCCATTAGTGTAATTAAAGTGCCATTCCATAATCTAGGAGGCCGAGAGAAGAGAAGAGGGGCACCTTATCTTTCAGACTTCAGCCCCGGCTGCGGGGGTCGTTTTAACCCCCGCTGGGCGCCTCCAGCCCCTTTCCGGGTCTACGCCAACCGTCGGTTGCCCGTAGCTTCCTTCGGTGATAACTCCTTTCCGCGAGAGAACTCTCCCCGCCGGCGGTAGCGGAGCGAGGGCGGACGCGACGGGGAAAAGAAAAACGGTGATTAAAACGTTCGGGAATCCGATATCGTATCTTCACGTGCAGCAGAGTCGCGGAGTCTATTTGGGAACGCGCGTACGCAAAACGATCTCGCGATTTCCGTTTCCATGAAGGTACGAGCGAAATGACGTCGAGCCTTTAAAGCGGATAGTTAAGGTCTGGGTCTTAGCACTGCATGCCTAAGGAAACTGAGATTCAACCGTGCGAGGAAAATTGGCTCTGGAGAAACTCTGCGGGCGATTTTTTAATTAGAGAAAGTACGCGTGAACGCGCGATCCACATTTTCGCCTTCGAAGAAAATAACGGACAGTCGAAATTCACATTTCACGGAGATAATCGGCGGAAGGTGTCATCCACAGATTGGGTTCCCCGCGAGAGAGTCGCGCGAGAGGTCGGACAAAACGATAAAGATGAAGGGCGAGATGGGAGGGTGCCGGCAGTGGTAAAATAAAGAAAAGCAAGGAGATAAGAAAGGGCCTGCC